TCAACCAATTTCCAGTCTTGAGACAGTTTACAGACCCAGAACCCCTTGAATTAAGGGAAGGCCTGGTGCCCTTGAGGAAGGACCTTGTTACAGTATCAAAGAGTTATGCTGTTTGCCTCTCACCCATCATTCCCCAGAGGGACCTGCGGCCTTTTACTAGAGTAACTGTACATTGGGGGAAAGGAAATAATCAGACATTCTGTGGCCTATTGGCTACTGGTTCTGAGTTGACACTGATTCTGGGAGACCCTAAAAAGCATTGTGGCCCTCTAGTTAAAGTAGGGGCTTATGGAGGTTAGGTGATAAATGGAGTTTTGGCTGAAGTCTGACTGACACTGACTCCAGTGGGTCCCTGAACTCATCCTGTGGTTATTTTCCCAGTACCTAAATGTATAATTTGGATAGACATACTTAGGAATTGGCAGAATCCCCACATTGGTTCCCTGACCTGTGGAATGAGGGATATTATGGCTGGAAAGGCCAAATGGAAACCACTGGAATTGCCTCTCTCAGGGAAATAGTGAATCAAAAACAGTATCGCATCCCTGGAGGGATTGCAGAAATTAGTGATACCATCAAGGATTTGAAAGATGCAGGGGTGGTGATTCCCACCACATCCCCCTTTAACTTTCCTATTTGGCCTGTGCAGAAGGCAGATGGGTCATGGAGAATGAGAGTTGACTATTGAAAACTTAATCAAGTAGTGACTCCAATTGCAGCTGCTGTACCAGATATGGTTTCCTTACTTGAGCAGATTAATACATCTCCCAGTACCTGGTATGCAGCTATTGATTTGGCAAATGCTTTCTTCTCAATACCTGTTCATAAGGACCACCAGAAGCAATTTGCTTTCAGCTGGCAAGGCCAACAGTATACCTTTACTGTCCTGCCTCAAGGGTATATTAACTCTCCAGCATTGTGCCATAACTTGGTTTGAAGGGACCTTGATTGCCTGACTATTCCACAAAATATCACACTGGTCCACTATATTGATGATGTTATGATTGGATTCAGTGAGCAGGAGGTAGCAAATAGTCTG